CACTGCGCATGCCATCTGCCTTATGCTGCACGACATCTGCAACCGATCTATAGGGCATCCCCGAGAAATAAAGCGCCTGGGATAACCACCACGGTGGTTTACGGAAAACTGAGTCGCGGGTCAGTCCCTAGGTTGCATGCGTGATTGAACTAATGAGTGTTTTTTTTTTTCTCTCTCTCGTGTCGAAAAGGACTGATTAGTGATTGCGCGAGTGTTTTTCCTTGATGACGTCTCTGAATTTTTGCAATTGATTGACATGTGGACTAACCAGCACCCTTCGATCGGGCGTCAACCTCCCGTACCTCCCGTATCGACACGACCTTTTCCCTACAACGAGGAAAGGACACGTGTATGCGAGTGGGACGTACGAGAAGCTGTCGCGCAGATCGGCGGACGATACTACTTCCCTCTGGCAAACCGTTGTCCAGGGTTCGTAGAGGCTGGGTTTGTCATTATCGACACGCACTTTCCACCCTAGTCGATATTGTTGCCATTCAACGAGTTGATAGTCATCCCGTGGACAGCAGTAGAACCCCACTGGCCGCGCACTGTATGCACCGAATGCCAGCGTTTTGAACGCTACGAAACCAAGGGTTTCCACTACCGTGTGCGGAGTGAGGACGAACATAGAGAAAGAGCCATGCGACTAAGACCATCCACGTCGGATTCCGAACTGGTCAGTGAACGACGACTCGACTTAATACGGAAACGAGACACGCGAAGCGTGCCGAAACCTTTCAGTTCTAAACGACGGGCTGTAGCTAGGTGGGATGTTCGACAATATTTTCTGGATTGAATTTGTATTTCTCACTCCTCTCACGCCAAAACTTCCGCGCGCGCAGTTAGCGCCGCGCAAAAAATGATCGACTTACTTTGTCGGACCAACACGGGGGATTTAAGTTCCGTGTGTGTCCCCACACTCAATTTCCAAAAATCCTTGGCACACCCCATCTTGCTGTTTTTCTGGGCCTCTCTCCGCACATCTAGCACTCCGAACGAAAGACAGCACAGGGCGTGAGGTTGGTATCGGAGCCGACACGTGTTGGTTCCGATGATAGTAAGTCGAACTGGCGAGAGGTAGAAGAAGTCCCCCACCCGCTCGCCGAGACTGCCCAGTAACCAGATCTATATCTGGTGTGACTATACCAGCTATACCAATGGTAGACGGTAATAGAGTGATCGTTATCATTCTTGCCCCCTTCCCCTTCTTCCCTAATCATACCCACCCCGAAGTTTGGCTGGAAGCCGTTGAAGCTCAAGGTTATAGCGCGGGTGATCTTCCCCGCGTTCTTACCTTGCTACTCCGTAATACGTCGCATGACTGGTTTAGAAAGCATACATGGGTAGATTGGAATACTTTCAAACAAGCCTTCTTGGCTCGATTTGATACGGTCAGTGAAGATGCAGCCTGGTACATACTCAAAACTCGGCCACAAGGACCAGGGGAATTATTGCCCGATTTCGTGGATCGATTTCAAACCACGTTGGACAAATCTGGGCGAGACGAGAAATCCGCTTGAGACTTGTTCATCGATCACCTACGAAGTCCGACGTTGAAAGGGAAGTTACAGAAAAAGGTTCCGCCAAAGACACACCCGCTATCCGCTATCATCGCTAAAGCATTGGAATTAGACCTGGCTGATACAAAAAAATATAGCAGTCAGGGAGACGAAGATATTACGGACACCATACAGGATGTAGTGGCTAAAAGGCGATCGTGGTTGCGGGCGGTAGAACGGTTTTATCCCCGCCCCGACCATGACCTTCCCGACGGGATCGCTTTCGATATCCCGCCTGTTTCTTCTTCCTCTCCCCTGGTGAATCAGCCAATAGCGGCAGTTAAGAGCAGGATCTCCCATGAACTCCCCTCGGCGGCCGTAACCAACTTACATCTTGCCCATATGATCCATATGGCTACTACCAAGCAGTCCGAATGGATGATCAACTTGATCCAAATGCAGGCCGCTCACATGGAGCGGATGGAACAAAAAATGAGCAGGCTAGTTAAGCATAACCCGACACCTGCTCGGTCTGCCCCCGCGTCATTTCCACTCTTGCCTGCCCTGCCTGCACCAGGATACGCACCTCAGTTCCCTCACCCAGCTAATCCACCAGGAAAGATCGAGTGTTTTAACTGCAAACAGCCCGGACATTTCGCCCGAGACTGCCCGCAGCCAAAGCGTAATAAGCCTCCACCTGCTGCGGCCCCTGTGGCCCTGAATCAAGGACGAGTGACCGCATTGATGGATACAGCCCAAGGAGGAGAGCTCGTAGCATATGCCCCATAACAACTTTCCCCCTCAGTGGCAACACCATCGATGTCGAGAGTTTCCTCCTCTGACGCTGCTGACGTGGTCGATCCACTTGAATATCTTCATCTCGCAGCTATGGTCGGAGCGATCCGATCAACCCCTGATGATCTCGAATGGGTCGATCGCGAATCCAACCCTGGTCCGCAGTTTCAGACGGGAGAAATTGATGTTCTAAGAGCGCTCAAGCAAGTAGATATTCGTGTTTCTATCCCAGTAGGACATTTGCTCACCATATATGAAGCTGCGAATGATAAACTCTTGCAATATTGCCAGAAAAATCAAAAGCGCTTCACGTACCAGCGTATACAGCGAATGTTAAAAAAGAAGGAAGGAGGCGAGGAAGTTGCACCGCCTGAAGCAGGCCAACCCGAGGCCGCACGTATAGCAGCGATCTCTTTAGCAGAGAAGGATCACTTCGTACGAGCTCGGCCGGTATTGTGGAAGAGCGAGGAATGTGATTGTGAAGTTTGGGGCAAGCCGTTTATCGCCCTTATCGACACAGGATCTTCTGCAGTGGCCATATCATTAGACACTGTCAAAAAGACGGGGCAACTCGGATCCATTCTTCCTCAATCTGGCAAAGACAATTATGTCTCTGCCGACGAGGAAGCAATGAACATCGTAGGCATTATTGAGAATGTGGCTCTAAAGGTTGGACGAGTATACGTCCTCGTTAACGCGCTCGTGATAGATGTGCGCTCCTATTCTGTACTATTAGGATTGCCTTGGGCGATAGCGATGGGCGCACGATTGCATTTTGATTCCAATCAACTGGTGCTCATGCAAACTGGGGGAAAGCCTCAAACTGTTCTCTTGCGAATTTCCACGCGAACGATAAAACGAACTCCTAACTCGACCCAAATAGGGATGATTCGATGCATTGATCCTAGGGAGTGTTATTCCTCGGACATCGATAGTGGAATCGGGGAACAAGAATACGAAGAAGAGATGCCAAGTGAAGATGAATGGAAGCACCTGGTCGAGCTTTTCGAACATGAAATTCCCAAAGAATTTCAAGTGTGTCCCGACACTGTCCGAAGCTTTCACGTGGATTCAGGAGACAGCACACTTGCGCCTCCAATAACCCAAGTCAGTCCTTCAGTCCTCCTCGGGGAACCCATATTGCAAGTATCCGACCTGGCCGATGACTTGGAACCCCCTCGCACCATGTATGGGAGAGCACTTTCCTTACAAACGCGTTATCAGCAAACGGAACAGTATTTGGATATTTCTGTTTTTCCGCCCAGATCGTTACTGACGACAGGAGCAACCATTGCTTTGATTAAACAGGAAGCGGAAGCACCGGTAGGTGATGTACCTGATCTGATGCAGGAAATGACGGATCTAACGGGGCTAACTGTGGAACAGACTTCGGTTGGTTCAGAGACTGATGCTGAAACTAAAGAAACTGAAATGATCAGCCCCGCTGAATCTCAGATGATAGCGGTTGTCTTTTCTGTTCGTACCAGTAGTTCCGTTTTTTCCAGTGTCCATGATCGGCGGGAACGGCCGGTTGATTGGGTCGACATACCCCTCAAGGTTCCCGGGGAATCAACAATCACCCTACCGAGCTGTGTTATTCTCCGTACGTCGTACGGAGTTTCTTTCGTACGGTCGTACGAACGGCCGTACGGACGATCATACGGCCATCCGAACGCGACTCGTACGAGGTTTCGGTCGACGTCCCCCATCGGCCACACCGCGGTTCTGGACGTGGCAGGGCGTGGCGGGAGGGGGCGGGAGGCTGTCTCAAAAAAAAAAAAAAATTTGGACTTCAATTACGGCGGGAAAAAAATAAAAACGATAAAAAATAATAAATAAACAAATAAAACCCAAAAAAGAAAAAAAACAAAACCGGAAACGAGCGGAAAACTAGTTTTCGGCTCGGTCGGGCCGTCGGGCGGGACGGCGAAAGATTCAAAATGGTCCAGCGGGCGGCTTCACGGCGCAGTGCGTACGGCGGCGTCCGTCACTTCGGGTGCGGCAATGCGGAGAAGCTGCGACTCGACACGTGGCTGTCGTGCGGTCAACGCGCGCACGCGCGCGCGCGCACGAGAGAGAGAGAGAGAGAGAGAGAGAGAGAGAGAGAGAGAGAGAGAGAGAGAGAGAAGA